TTTGAATCTTAGAAGGCTAGGAATTAAAAAAAAAAACCACCTAAATTGCAAACCTTGATTGCTGAAAAGAAATACTGAGCAAACATGTTATATGAATTAACCACGAGCCCTACCGGTATACTTACGGTACATGAATGTATGTACAGACATGTGTATACATACGTGTACCGGTACATGTTCAGGTGCACACAGTAATTTAGTACCGGTAAGTTCATCCACTTAATTATCAAGGGCCTTCAACTTCAGATTTTAACGATGGCAGTAGATTGCCCATTGAATATTTAAGTAGCAATTCTTCTTCATCTAGATTTTTATGGCCATTATACATGTAAATCATCGATAGAGTTTGGCACCTCGGTTTACATGCACCTTCCCCATCAGCCATGCATGACAAACGTGAGGCCCACAGAGAACTGGATCCCTAAACCAATCCTTGCTGTTTCCTTAAATCCTTTTATTTTTGTGGGGAAAAAAAAAACGAAGAAAGACACGAGAGAATAACTTGATCTACATGATCAGACAGCTGAAGAAACAGGTGAGCGTAGATGCACAGCGATATCATCGAATGGCAGGGGAATCTAGGGAAGTGGAATCAAGAATCTTAAATCGGGGTTGCTGACCGGGATGGCGCATGGTGGGGGCTGCAATTGACTAAAGCCGATCTGCTGAATTCGCTAATTTGATGCGGCTAGATAATGAAATTGAGAATGAGTACCCCAAGAGTATCCACGTCTATGTATATTTTAAGCCCTTGAAAATCTGAAAGCTTTGGAATGCGATAATTTATTTTTTCTTTTTCCTAGAACCTGTTTTCAGGAGGCGTAATCCTGTTTAATTTTAAAAAGGCTGATATTTTCATCAGAATCTGGCAGATAGTTCATTGTTTTTTTTATTATTATTAATTTTAGACAGAAGAAAGATCAGCTTCTTTAAGCTGAAGTGGTAACCAACATCTGTAAATTATTGCCTTAAAACACAATCTTCTCATTTCTCAATCTTCTCTTCTCATCATTGTGCTTTGACCTTTTGGGGAGTCAAGCCTGCATATGAAGTAACGATGAAGGCATCTCCATGTACATTTATCTTCCTTTAAAATACTGCAAAATCTTCCCAAAACTAAGTGGATTTTGAAGAATCTGGGACAGTGAGGGTTAACAAATTTTTTTTCTTTTTTATCCTTTTGACCCTAGTCATCCCTTCCATCCCCCAGGCTTGCAAGTCACTAACACCCCCACCTGACAATATCCCACCTCAGCCTACCATCCCTGAATCACTAATTGACACCCCTGTTTTACTGCCTGCTTCTGCCATGCACCACCTTATCCCGCCCTTAGGAAACTCCTCAGAGCCTGTAGATCTTGGCACCCTGACACATAGTCGGCGAGGCACACACTGTTTCCCCTCTAGGGGTGGACGTGTTTAGAGTCGACCCTCCATTTTGCTCTATCCATTCAGTGGCTCTGCCTGACTTTCTACCCCTGCTACCCTGTCTCTTTTCACCTTCCAAATGTCTCGTCACCTCGCTTTTTTTCTTGTCTTTCACAACTCACTGTTTCTTCAACCTTTTTTCCCTCACTTGGGATTGTTTACTTTTGTAATTGAAACAGTTCTGCTTCTGCATGCATGCAGTATCGTGCCATCAAATGGGTAGTACTCTACTATGAGGAGTCTTTAGCCTTTGAAGGCAGTCTTGCATGACAGGGGTTAGAACCTTGGACCTCAGAACATGCATCTCAGAGCTGCATTCAACCTTAATTCTTTGGGAAAGAATGTAGTATCCAGACGCCACTTTGTTGGTTGTGTACAAAGTCTATGGAGAGTCAAGAAGAATTTCAGAGTATTTTTGGAAACAAAATTGGAAATGTTTCTCAGATCCAGATTATTGTCTTTTCAACATTTTTGCAATGACTGACCTTCATTGAGATAAAATATGATGAAAAAAAATAGCATCAGGATGTGATGTTCTTTCCATTCTTTGCGCACCGCAAGCTGATACAGCTGAAATGGCACCCGCTCGGGAAGGCAAGCTGATGTACAATTAGCAGCTCATTAAACATCACAGCAGGGCATTTTAATTCTGTCTAATTAAGCCAGTTAATTCCATACTCTGACAGTTACATGTAAGTTGGGGATCCTTGAAGTTTTTCCCAATCAAACACCTGTTCCGCTTGGGTGCCAATCAGTGGCCTTTATGCTCGACGTGTCTTACACACATTTCACACTCCATGAATATAATACCAAGCATGCCAAGTTACCAACAAGTGCTCGAAGGGTAAGCCAGTAGCCTTGTTCAATTTTTAATGTGCATCACATCTCTTTTTTCCCTGCTTTTCAACCCTGGGCAATAACCTTGGTCAAGGTCGCCCAACCGTGGCCCTATACCTCTATCCTCTTCAAAAATTATGTTAATGGCCTGCAAAGTTAAGACATCAATTATCCTTCTGCCGTAATCTAAATGATTCATTCATGGTTACTATGGCAGCGGATCGGTTAAGAAGTTGGTAACGGGTTTATAATAAAGCTTGGTGATAATCAGGCATTGGTGTGAGGAGGCAATCTCCCACTCAGTTGCTGGCACATTTGCTGACGGGCCACAGTCCATTATTACCCTGGCACTGGTGAGGCCTCTGTTGGATGATATTACTTCCCGGTAAAAGCTCTAGAATGAGTAAGTTTTGCTTCATGCGTGTCTTCTTTTGTTAAATGCATGCACAATAAAAGCACTAAAAATTCCGGTTAATGAATGTCTTTATTAGCCGACGCATGTTGGTGTGTCATGCAGTCATTTAATGCTCAAGTCGGTGTTATGTGTATCCGTGTTCTGCTGAAAAAGTCCATTAAATGAAACAGAAAACTGTGTTTTGAAAGCAGAAAAGCTCTGATGTAGTGGTTTCAGTTTGTGATGTGTACATTTATATATGTTTGTGCAAAGTTTGATATACCGGTATACACGTTACAATACTGAAAGAATTTAAACTTACAGTTGTTTGTATACATACATACACTTAATAAACAGTGTTATTTATTGTGGACCAAATTTTTGTGCGGTGTTTCATTTGAAGGCATATTACTTATATGATGGAAGAAACAGTTGTACGCAAGTCAATTTGAATATTAATTAATTAATTAATTTTTTTGAGGGGATGGGCTGCCATGCCAAAAGGAGCAGACCCGTTTTATACATGTAAATACTGTAACATCTGGTTTTGACAGGACACGTCAAAACGAGAATAAACATACATGCACTACCCTGACCCTGACATATGTGTTGGCATTAGAGCATGCCAGTAATCAAGTTCAATGGTCTTTCACTCAGCTATTTGATGGAGGAGAACAATTATTTTTCCAAGATCCCTGTGGGACACGGCCATTTATTGGCCCTGCTCCTCCGTCTCCCTCAGACTGACGTGGCATAAACTACCTCTGACAGATCACACACCGGCCGACCAAACGCCGATTAGCATTCCCCGGTAATGCCTTCAAATTGATTGAGTCAACATAGAACCTGCTCAATTCACGGCCAATAAAATTAGCATCCACTGGCTTTTTTCCCTCTCTCTCTCTCTCTCGTTGTGATCTGACAGTAAAAGGAACGGCAAATGAAAAGGTGTGCAGATTGTTCCCGATGACCCCAGCACTTTAGAGAAATGGATCGCTATCAGGAATATTCTGCCCGTTGATTGCATTTTGAATGTACATATTTATTGCCACCAGGGAGTTTAATGTAGTTTCTCACTTGTTCGAAGTTTACACCTGTACAACTGGACATATACATGTATGCATCAAACTGATTGCCACAGCTTAAGATGGATTATTTGAATGCTCAAAGTGGGAGGTGCTGTCTTTTATAATCAGGTTTTAGAATTGAAGGATCAGGAGAAGCTAGAATAATAGGTGGGAAATTTTCAATGGTATTAATATATCGGTAAATATGAATAAAATGCCTCGTAAATATTTGAAGGGAATTTGCTGCAAGAGAATCTTTGGTTTTGGTCCCTTAGACAGGGATTTTTAAAAGTTCAAAAGATAACGGCGGTGTGACTGACCAACAACTCCACTTTGTATAATGTCATATGTCATAAACATCATTTCTCCGTTAAACATGTGATGAATAATGACCGTGAAGCTGTCGTGTCAGATTTTTTTTTCAATGACTGGCATGTTGCGTATCAGGCCACGCACCAGTGAGAGTATTACCACACATTCCCAAGGGGAAAAAAAAGGAATATCATGGAGAACTGTAACTGAGAAAGCCACAGACTTCATTAAAGAAGACCATGGCATATGAAATCAGACCGTGGCATATGAAATCAGACCGTGACCATACCAGTATCTGGGGAAAATCCAAAGCAGAAATGTCTGCATGATCGTTGAAGACCCAATATTAGACGATGACAGAAAATAAGAGATGCCCCAAATAAAGTGACGACCCTCAAAGAGGAGATAACCTTCAAGTAGGAGACAGCCCTCAAACGGGAGATGTCCCTCAAATAGAGGAACCCAATCGGAGGATGACTCCAAAATACACTGTAGGAGATAACCCTCGTACAGGAGGTGGCCCCAATGCGAGAAAAAAAGTGCCCAAACCAGGAGATGACCCTTCAAACAGGAGATTATCCGAAGTAGGGGTAGACACCAAAACAGGAGAATGACTTCAAACTTGATGTGCTCCCAACCCAGAGATGACCAGCAAACATGAGGCAACACCGAATGGGGAATAACTCCAAAGCGGGGAATTGTTGCCTCACTTTTTGAAAACACAAGATACCCCATACAGGATATTATTAAATCCTGAACAGGGTATTATCCCAGTCAGCAGGTAACCCCAAAGACGAGATAATCAAACTGCACTAACCCAGCTAGTTACTAATCAGTGTGGTAGAGACAGGAGCTCCATGCTCTACAAGAAGCCGTGATTACCACTTACTGTCAATATGTTTGAAATTGTTGAATTCTTTTGATCAATTTTCCAATTTTCCTTTTTTCTCTCTCTGCATCAGGATATATTGCTGAGGTTGGGAGGAGTCACCAACTGGGAACAGTTACGAGAGGCAGTTAGGGACGCAATCGGAGTGACACTAGAAAACACAGTAAGTGTCCATATTTCCTCCATTCATGGTTCATTCAAAATTTGGGTTGAGTTTGCAACACAGTTTTTGTAGTCAAGTCCTGACAAGTCCTTACTAGTCAATAGGGAATGGGGTACACTATTGAAGTGAAACGCAGGTACCCGTAAAAGAAACCCAGCCCAAAATTCAAATCCTTGAAGTTGTCTAAAGGGCTTCATAGCTTTACCGTTCAAACTGCAACTTTTGCGAGCATCTGTTGCATGTTAAAATGCACATAAAGGTGATATCTGTTTTGCATTTCCATACAGCGTGGCTTTCATTTAGAAAATCACCCACAAATGGCATGCAAACCTTTTTTTTTTTCTTTGTCTGAAAAGTTACGTTGTAATTTGTAAAGTTGGTTACAGGTGCCCGATCCCATAATCTAGAACTGGTTCCTGACATCAGCGGTCGGGTACTCGGGTACCTTGTTCCGATGCACACCCCCACAAGTCAATGACAGATAATGTAGTCTCAAGTTATAATCTGGTCTCAAGTTGAACGACAAGCTATTCAAATGAACTGTGATAAAGACATTCCTTTTTTTTCAGTTTTCATCCCATATTACTTGTTACCTTACTTGTGATTTAACTCGAAATGGACTTGTTTACAACTCTGGTTTGCAAAAATAGTTCTGCATAATCTACAACAAGCATCATCGTATGCAAGCATGAATTGATAAAAAGACAAGCACATTCCTCTTCGCTAGCCACACACAAAGGCACCATGTGACTAAAAGCCTTCTACGGAAGGAAGTCCATCCACTTTTCTATGCTAAGACGAAAGTCTTAAAAAGCAGTGAATGAGATCAAAACTTGGCAGACAGACTTATAGAAGCTCTGTGAATTATGGCACAGAACAGAGCAGAGTAGAGTGGAACTTCCAAAACAGCACAGCTGACATCAATGAAGAGTCATGTGTTCATCAAAATAAAGCCAGACAAGTTGGGGAGCCTAGAAGGATTTCTCTGCCGGTACGTTTGTGGAATTTATGTCACCCATGTCGGGGAGACAAATTGTCCTGTGAAACAGAAATAACCACCAACCTTTTCCACATTTTACCCCAAAATCCCACCTTTGTTGTTGGAGTGGCAAGTGGCCAAGTCTGCACGACATCGCCTGGCACAAATTACGTGCTCGTGCTCGTGAGCCGGAATTTAATTCCCCTCATCCATCCCATGAATGTATCTCGAATGTCACGACACTGACAAAGAACCACTCACTGACGAAATCAAAGCTCTCTGACATTTCAATTACGACATATTAGCCTCCCCTCCCTTGAGGATTTTTTTTTTGTAACTTCAATGAAATTCGTTCAATTTTTGTTATTTTATAGTTTGAAGTCAGCTACAGCACTCGTTGATATTTTTATTGTCAATTAATACATCTTACATGTAAACAGACTGTACCCTTTTCTGTTTTCTTTATAATTACAAACTCTTGAAATGTCAGTTACCTTTTCTAGTAGACATTGAGACGTTTGTGTGCAATCAAAGTTTCATGCATCGTCACAGCGGGGCATAGAAGAGCTGTGGGTTTAGTGCAAAATCTTGAGAGGGTCAATGTGAAGTGCATCAGGTGCGGTGCAGTTGCTCTCAACAATCACGGACATTCTTGTTCTGTAATTGCGGGTACATACACTCATCTGTACGAGGTATTTGTGGGGACCGAAAATGCTGTGGGGACAGCAGAAAGTCCCCATAACTCGGTCCTAATTTGCCTAACAATAAAAAACTTTCCCATAACGCGGTGTAGGCCTACCCATCTATTCAAAGGGTGTGTTTCACTTTCGTTGTCTTCTTCCCCCCAGTTTTGTCAAGCTTGCAAGCTGCACGCATACATTTCAAACTTCAATGATTATTTAAAAACAAAATGCACTGAAATCCACCTGTAGGTTAAATGCAGTGGGCACTTTTTGAATTATCAGCACATTCACTTGACTGATTTTCTTGCCCGTTTTTGTTGACTTTCCACAGGAAGATCTGGTGGTGTATCTCTTAGACATTGCAACAGGGACATTGGTCAGCCAAGATGGCCTAGCAGGAGTGGTGCACACTCTACCCAAATCAGGCCTAGCTGGGTAGGTAACGGGAACACATAAAGCCCAAGTTGTGTGATTGAATTATCACAAGTCAATCACAAGCCAATCACAAGCCAATAACAAGTCAATCACAAGTCAGTCTCAAGTCAATCACAAATCAATCACAAGTCAATCACAAGTCCAATCACAAGTCAATAACAAGTCAATCACAAGTCAGTCTCAAGTCAATCACAAATCAATCACAAGTCAATCACAAGTCCAATCACAAGTCAATAACAAGTCAATCACAAGTCAGTCTCAAGTCAATCACAAATCAATCACAAGTCAATCACAAGTCCAATCACAAGTCAATAACAAGCCAATCACAAGTCAATCACAAGTCAGTCTCAAGTCAATCACAAATCAATCACAAGTCAATCACAAGCCCAATCACAAGTCAATCACAAGTCAATCACAAATCAATCACAAGTCAGTCTGAAGTCAATCACAATTCAATCACAAGTCAATCACAAGTCAGTCTCAAGTCAGTCACAAGTCAGTCTCAAGTCAAATCACAAGCAACAGGTGATGAACAATGACAGGGGAATACCGGTTCCTTTGTCACGGTTCATTTGAATGTCTTGGCCACATAGCTTGACACTGACTGACTTATGATTAACTTGTAACGACTTGTGATTGACTTTTGATAACTTCAAAAAACTAGTGATAGACTTGTGATCAATTGTGTAGACTTGTGATTGATTTTGATTACAACAAATGAAGAACGCACACACATTTAGTTAACAGTTTTGTACTGAATACCAAGGTAAGATTATGGTGTGATGTACACATGTACATATGTGTACAAATTTTAACTCGATTTAATTTTACCTGGCTTTGACAATTTACCACGAAGCACTTACAGGCCTGGTTAGCCGCTTCAGAAGAACTGCTACCAGAAAATAGTGTTCAATTGACTTGCATGTCTAAAGCCGGAGAATAAACCTTATCACACGGAAGCCTACATGTATTTGAACTTGCCCAGTGAAGACAATAATTAAAGCAGGGAGTTAGGCAGGCTTGTGTGTCTTACACTGTCATGACTGTGTGCGACCTGAGTCAGTGCAGCCCCACACGACACTACTGTTATAAATACATGTGAGCAGCCTTGGGGAAGGCTCACACTTCAGGCTTTGAAAAGAAGACAGGAAAGCTTTCTCATTAAAGATTAAGACTCTTGAGCAATCATGAAAGGTTTTGATGGAAACCACTGCTTGATTGAGTAATTATTCACATGCGTGGGAGTGTTATCCACAGTTTCTGTACTAAGGCATCAGTGAGAGCAAGATAGGCACGGGGACGTTATTTGTCAACCCTGTTAATTCTCATGAATAAGGAATCCGTCGCGGAGCACCATCACAAGTGATGGCTGGCACTATCTTGCCACGTCTGCTAGCAGCCCCAGTCTGCAGATTCAGACTTGGCTGCCTGATGAGGGTCGGGGCGAGGGGTGTGATAGAGTACAGTGATCTTTGGTCTGTGTCCTTGTAGCAGGAGTGATCCGTAAACACTCGCCGATCAATACTGGTAGCCAAGGGCCCAATTCCAATGAACACTTTCTAATCACAGAAAACATTCGCTGAGCGAAAACAGGGTACCATCCAAGATGTCATGCATTGTATGTTGCATGCGACCGGTTCCCAGCCGATTTGTGCTTTGCGCTAAGCGGCCCTGATGACGATGGGCCAATTCCCATCTGGCCGCCCATGCTCTAATGAACCGCGAAACCCTCACCCCCTAATTTTTATGCATAATCCCCCCGGATTAAAGCGGTTCGTGTTTCACGCGCCACCGAGCTGCCGAGATTTAATTTGCGTTCGCTTGTTTTGGAAAGGGTGGGTCATTATCCAGTAGACTAGACTATAGTCCCCCTCCATTGTCGTCATCGAGGGGATATATGCCGCCTCTTTCTTTACCCAAAAGAGAAATCATAACATGTGGGCGCAATTTCGGATGAATTTGTCTGTCATCTCATGTCTCTGACTTTTTTGTGTGATTAATTACCTCCGTATTTTTGTTTACGTAGAAAAGAATTTGCAGATGTGCCTTTTGCCCTCCTGTGACCTCTTGCGATAGCAAACAATTTCCCGGCTGGACTCTGAAAGCAATTAAAGATCACATTTATCATTGGAGTTTTTCCCCCTCCTGTTCCCCAGCGAGTTTTGCCCAGAGGACAGGCAATAAGAACGCCATTCACCAGCTCCCACTAACGGAATCCAATAGATTAAAAAGCCCTCCGACAAATTATGATTTCATAAATTATTACAAAGCATGATTGAATCTGTCGCCATGGAGTGAATTATGAAAATTGTTCGGCAAGTGGACAAACCAACTGCAGCGACGTGTACTTTATTTCTAAGGCTAGCGGTTTCATTATGCTTGTGATGTCCAGGGGCTGATGCCATTGAGCTGCTAAACAAGTAATTATACTTGATACAATTAAAAATACTTGATTAGCACAAACCTGCAAGCCAAAATCTTATGCAATAAATACGCATTACTGTTGGTTATTAGCTCTTGTTGGTTACCGGGAAGCAATATTTACTGTATAGATGCTCCATGTACACGTAATTGGGCCCTTGTCTGACAAAGATATACAGTACATGTAGATAGCAAGAATATTTTTCTTGCACGTTGTTATTTTCTGATGTTATAAAGTGTAATCAAATATTTTGTGAGAACAAAAATGGTAGCAGCACGGAATTCATGAACATTTGCCATTATGCTTTAGAATACAAGGTATAGTGTATTGCAGAAACGACACAGGAAACAAATGTGTTGCCAGTGGCTATCCATGTCACATCATTCACAATTTTACAGAGCATTACTTACCCCCTAATGTGCAGCTGTACTAAAAGGATTCACATTTCTGTCCTTTATTTTACGAAAGCAAAGTAACTTAATGCAGGCCTGCTGATCCGGGTACATTCAAACTCATTCAATTCTGTAATATTTTCATTAAGAAAATCCCGCTCCGAAAGCCCGTAATTCTGAGAAAAAGCATGTTAAAGCACAGCACCGGCCAAAGTTTACCCTACGGGCAGAGAATTATGAAAGAACATGGTCACGGTGTCACGAGCGCATGTTACCGGTATTTTTGAATGATTAATGGTGTTTGAGTTATGACTCTGCCCTATTTCAGCGAAATGGCGAATTTGTTTTCCCAAGTTGGGGCTCGGCTTGGAAAATTCATGAGCTGTTAAATATTTATAATGAAAATCTCACATCCATGGGATTGTTGTATTGAGATTGGCTTACATGCCTGTCAAATATAGGCTACATGTAGGCTTTTAATAATTTTACAAAACATTCTTGCATTGATGTCATTAACATTTCAGAATCTGAAACCGTTCCAGATATATATATTTATGACAAACTTCCTTGGAAAATGTTTTTTTTTTGTATTAATGGGTTTTTTTTTTTAACCACCTGCTTTTTACCCCTGTGGACCTGGCCCTAATTGACCTATCACCGTTTGCGAGTTAACCACGCCCCTTAGACAACCCTATGGAATTTTGTACGTTAATTTTTGTTTGTCTCAGATTTTGCGCATTTGGCGTCCATTTGTACATGTATATCATGTAATTGGATAATATTTCACAAGCTGCGTTGACGCGATTCTACTGCGATAGGTTAATTCATTCTGAAGCCCTCCTTCAGATTTTGCCTGTGCATCGTGTGTTGACCAATTCCCTCTCCTTGTGTTACCAATCCCACCCCCCCCCCCCCCCCACGCCTCAAGTCCCTGCGCAAATGACCAGAAGCGGCCCGGTAAAACGTCCACTTACTGCGGGAAAACCGATACAAAAGCAACAAGAGCACTGTTTGCGCAGGCAATGCGAGGACAATCAGCAGGAACATATTACATGTACTTGAGATTGCCTGTGGCCGGTTTAAGCTCCCCTGTCGAATACCCTAGGAGATCTAAAAAAAAAAAAAATGCTAAATAGAATTATTTCAAGGCTCTATATTCAGGCCAAGTACTTTTGTAATGTGGTGAGTGGCATCTACTAGTGTTTCAAGAAATCTGAGTGCACATAAGATGGAATTCATCTTTAAAAGTTATAACGTAACGGTAGCTGCCTGTACTTAACAAGACCATTTTGATAAGCCCTACAACACTAAACGATAGGTCAATAAAATTTCTTTTGAGTTGGGCGGTGTAGCCTGGATGGTGTATGTGCATTTTGAAGGCGATTTTTTTATGTATTAACTTAAATATCTGAATAAAACTCATTATCATGTATGGATACTGCCTGGGGGAAACATGAACAGACGTCAGTCGCATTCCTAGACAGTTGTTTACGCCACTCTAGCATTACTTTCAGACGTTTACCCAAAACTATTAGTTCCCCACATGTTATGATTTCAGGAGCAGCTATGATATTGATGCCATCCTTGTCAAGTTGAAATGCATGTGTACATAGGCTCCGAATATCGCATATAGTCCATTGGGTAGCCCAAACCAAGTATTCGATATCATCATGGTCAGATTTTTAACAAGGTGTGAATAGCTGTGCTCCTTCACCAAACCCCGCATAGGCCACAACGCGATCCATGAACCCCACTGAATAAAGTAGTATCCAGTTTCAGCACTGTCATATATACATCTCTCACAGGCATTCATTTCACGATTGCATGACAGTCATACTTTCCTAACACCTCTGGTTCTTTTTTTTTTAACTTCTTCTTCAGGAAATGCACTGAAGAGCGGCATCTGATAGTAGCTGGGGAGTTAGACATTGAGGATCCTCTGAGTGGACTGTTACCCAGCACGTCACCCACGCTCCCTGAAAACAGAAGAGGTAGGAACAAACTTCTTTCTCCCAAAGTTTCCCCCCCAATTTTTGTGTGTGTGTGGGTGGATGGAACGTCTGCTTCTAGTGTCTACTGAGTTATCCAGGTTTTATCCATTCTAAATTATCCACAGTCTTTTGCTTACACTGGATTCTGTACTGGTTTAGTTAGGCCGTCATGTCTTCAAGGAAGTCAGCATGAATAATCATGAACTTCAGACTAACAACAAATTTGAAGCTTTGCCAATCGGCAGCTGAAGGATTGAGAATGATTGCAAGGGATGCTACTGTCTTGTAATCGCTGAATTTGAAGTGATGGATCTACAATTCCACACACAAATTGTGCATTTGCTTTGACCCCAACTCTTCTGAATCCAAACTTTGGTAATGTTCTGTTTGATTTTGGAAATCTGAGTAGTGAACGAAAGACCCTTTGTTGTGTAGAGCTGTTGAATCCTGTTTTTAACAGGCTGTCATCTACATGAACATTGTATTGTGATTCGGATATCCATTGATTGAGGGCAGAGTTCTTGTTAAATAAAAGGCCCATTCCTTGTAATTATCTGGTAACATCCTTCCTGATTTTTTATTAGGGCCCTCCGTGAAGTACACTTGTTAAAATACACTCAATGTGGCTTCGTACTCATAATTCAGGGCTGGAGTAGGCCTACCGGTACTAATCTAAAATAGATGCTGAAAACTGTGATAGTTCAGTTTCTCCAGTGTCCTGCATGCGAGCTGTTGTTGCTTGAATCAAATAAAAGCATGAAATAGCCTTCAGCATGCCATTTGGATGTTTTGATGTCACACAGTACCGGTATTTGTTTTAGCCGTCTCACCACAGTTGTGTTGTGATTTGAACCCCAGACAGGTCCGGCAGCCCAGCGCTAGGCTGCACAGGGACTGCATCTATTTACCCTAGATTTCTTGGAGAGAGAAAACGACGCTCTAACGTTCACACTCTTCACGACGAGATTCCACTCTCTCTCATTCCCCCAGCCGTCCCCTGCTGTGATTCCATCTCACCATCTTAATTACATCCAACTCAATACTTCGTCCTCCCGTTGGTTCCGATATCCCCAAGATGATTTCTCAAAATGATCCTTTCCCTGTAACCTTCCCAAGCCCTCCACCTTCTTGTTCCTTCTGTGCGCTTGTCCGCCTTCCGCGGCTCAGTCGCGTTTTTAATTGCCGGGAAATTGCCGGGTACGATTGCGATCAGGGTTTTCCGCGCGCAGTGGTTACTGCAGTTTGAGTGTCGTCGGTAGAAGGGACTGGGCTTATCAGCTGCATATCAGGGGCAGTGTGTCTATAGGGCCCTCCGGCCTGTTCGTGGCTTGATGAGTCTGAGAGATACTATCATCCATGCTTTTCCCGCTTGTGGGACTTTTTATTATATGGCTCGGTATTTCTGGTTTCAGTTTGATATTTTGTTGGCCGGTAGGGCTTTCTGGACTTAGGCGGTTGCGGTTAATGAAGTTATGTGTTTTTTTCTTTGAAGATATTATTTCTCCGTTTCATATGGCATGTTATTCACACTTGGAATGCATTTATAGTTTATTAAATGCAGGGGTTTTGGTCTGCATGTGGAAAATGGATGTTCATATTTTATTAAATTAAAAAAAAAAACCACATCAAATCTGCTGTTAAGTTCAGTGTATGTGTCCCTACATGTATACTGTACATACTGTAGTAATGAATAAGTAATTGTAATGTTAGGTCTTCATACGTACAATGTACCGGTACGTTGAATCAATAGTTAACTTGACTGTCAATACATCCTTTGGATCTGCAAGCCTACATGCAGTAAGACCAAACAAAGCACAGGAGCAAGAGCAATTTGTATTTAATCCAAACAAGGGACTATGAAAGTGCATGTCTCCAGGAAGAGAACTCATCATTTCAAGTCTTTCTTAAGATAAAAGAATGTTCCATATTTTTTGGTCTGTTAAGAATCTCCAATTTAGCAGCAGAAGTTCTGGATTGCCCCCGAGGTGACCCAGACATTGGCAGATTGGACAGTCAGTGGCTGTTGTCGAAATTAAAACCTTTTTCCAGAGATACAGTCTAGAGGCAATTCTAGAACCTTTCCAAAATTCCTGGCATGTCTTTCAGTTTTGTATTAAAATCCATCATGCGTACATAGGCAAAATATAAAGACTATGTTGACCACCAGTACAAGGGATAACGTTGGGATGTAAAGGGTTTAATAGTTCCTGTTTTCAAGGGATAACGTTGGGATGTACAAATGTAAAGGGTTTAATAGTTCCTGTTTTCAATCAGAGATTTTGTACCCAACTGATGGCCTCTCTTGAGTCGCCGCTCTGATGAGTATCCAGATATTAGTGGAAATGTTTTTCCTGAATTTACACTGTACCGGTACCACTGTGCTCAGCAATAGCATGTGTACACCATACACTGTACATTTAAAATTCTTCTACATGTACATGTAAGTCTCTTATACATGTAAAAATGCACCAAAAATACGCATCCTCTGCCAGAGAAGTGACCTTTTTGTCCTGTTCACTCTGTTGCTAACCAAAAAAAAAAGACAGGTAATTCCTCTGCAAGAAGCTTTTCCATTAACACATGTTCTGTCCATTTTGTGTCTGTTGCACATAGTATAAGTACGGTACGTGTACATACATGTAAAATGTGCTCCCAGAAAATGCGGCTTGAATGTTTTGACTCCCACATGCCTCAATTCTCTCTCTCTACTGATTACGATTCTCCACCACCTCATCCCACCTACGCCTAAGTCTAAAAGGGCAGGCATTGCAGCCTGACCCAATTTCGGCATAAGCTGGTGTCATTTAACCATCCTTAATGCTCCGAGAGTTGCTTCACCTGACCTACTTCCAATACCAATAATCTGTATTTAAATGCCCCAAGACTGGAACAGAGGGAATAATCTGACACCTGCCCACAGAATCCAACAAGATCCTGCTGTAGCCAATTTTCTGTTGAATCTTGTGTGATCTGAGCAGTTAATACCAAGTGACCTTTTGTTTTAGTTGTTGGTTTCTGTTGGATTCAGCGCCATTGCTGTTTGGTTCTGTTGGACTTTATAGGGTGCCAAGTGAAGACTTACAATGTAAGATGTTATGGTTTGGAAGCGAAAACCTCTTACACTCTTATCTTAGCAGCACAAAAGATCAAAATTGAAATGACTGCATACAAGTATTATGATGAGGTGATAGAGAATTAAAAAGATTTTGGATGTGTTCACCACTTACAGGTGGAATTTTGATCAGGTGGCATAGGCATGTTGGATGTTGGATCCAGATTTGGATTTTTAACACTGGTTAACACTCCCCTGAAGTGACATCCACAACGAAATGCCATAAGGAAGAACGGAGCACCGACATGTAATTAATAAAGACTTTGACATTAATCCAGCGCAAAGATTTTGAGTTAAGAAAACAGTGTAGAAAGACATTAGAGCTTGAAATTCACATCACCCCGATATCCGATCAATCATCAACCCAGCTCTCCCTGTACCTTCCTCTGTTCAATTCCACTCCTGTGCATTAACACATTGTCTGTCCCTTGTCATGCCTCCTGTTCTGGGGCTTCAAGTACGCAATATCCTGCTTCGCCAACAGTATTCATTCCTGTTGATAAATCCAGTCTCTGAATGATGCTCAGATTTGTGTTGTTGATCCCTCTTGACCACGTCACACTGATAATTTTTCCAAGTGAGCTTTGACCACTGCTTTCCTATATCATTGTGTCCCTTGTCCCTTGAGTTGTATACATTGACTTGTTATTGACTTGAAAGCAATTATGTACACAGCCAAGTTAGCGTGCAGACTAATTACATGTGTGTGTAAATGCTTACATTTAGAATTTACAAAAATGTACATCACTGCGACGCAAATTCCATCTTATGAATAGTTTCATAGCGGAACTGCTGCTACATCAGATTCGAACCAGGCAACTGATCCCGCAAGCTCGGTGGAGGAGTGCTAAGACGCCTGCACTAGAAAGTACGAGGTCGTGGGTTCGAGTCCCGCCCGAGTGTTTTTTCCTCGCTTTCACTCGGGGAAGGGGGGGGGGGGACACATTGAGTATATAGTGTTTATAATTCAGTGAAAGGCAAACCTAATATATAATTTACATTTAGAAAGTTATCCTCAATACAACATGGCTTGCACGTGCGTGACAGAAATAAAGAGAGAACATAGTGCATGTGAACAAAACATTGAGTTAATTGGGTCAACCTATTGTACAGTAAAATTTCCATTTAAACATATTTGAACGTTAATTTGATTTGTGAGTATGGCTGAAAAAATATGAGGAGACATGATCAAGGCACTACCTTTAATTCAGTAATGTGAAGCATATTCTTAGAGGTACACCCCTGGCAACATAAAGGTATGAATGGTACTATGCCATCATTCATTTCTCCTCACCGGTCATTTGCAGGTGGCCTATTTGCTAACCTCCCTCAAACCATCGCCGGTGTACGTGGAACTTGTGCGATGAATTCATTTTCCCCTGAGCTAAACAGAAAATTTCCTGTCTCCTTTACAAATCCAGCATCCCCCATTCAGTTGTCTTCCTTGCACGATTCCACCCAAAGTGGCACGTTTGATGTATTGATTACACGAGCTGCGTGACACTTTGTGTTTCTAATTGGCTCCGTCCTATAAACATTAACAGACTGGTCAAATTAAACAAATCTCTGCCTCTGTCATTTTCTACACACACATTCACACACACACACCCCCCCCCCCCAACCAATTTAGATGCACTGCCGAACACATCTCAATTCATACACATGTACTGTACGTGTACTGTACTACTTTCCAATTTGTGCATTTCGCAAAATACACATTTGCCTTAACTCCTCAGGCATTTTGCAAGGAACAGTTCTGAATTCTCCGAAATCCACTCTGGTGCTGTAAACCAAAAAGTGCATTATTTGTTCTTTAATTTGCTAGAGTAATCAGTCCACAATATTAAGTTATTGTGGGAGGGCTATTCCTTCCACAATACTGCAAAAT